GGGGGGGGGGGGGGGGGGGGGGGGCTGCCGCGCCGTTCTCTGCATGGCAGCATAGCGAAGAAATGTTCCCTACGGGCGTGGCACGAGTTTTCGTGTCTCGCTGAACAGAAATCGTAAACGCCCACAGCGCACCCGGACCTCTGCCATTCGAACGTGTGGGACACCTTTCACAAGACTTGCATTGCACCCTTGTCATGCTTCCCTCCAAGTCCCGTATACTGTTTTCTCTTGATGTTTAGCACTGCGTGCCCCTTTCGTGGTAATAGTCATGGCGTCAGTTGGACCGGTGCGGATGAATAGAAGGTACAGAACAGAGTTCGGAGCGGGTTCGATAGTGTCAAGAAGACGATGACGACGACAAGAACAACAGCACCAGCAGCAGCAGCAGCAGCAGCAGCAACAGCAACAGCAGCAACAGCAGCAGCAGCAACAGCAGCAGCAGCAAGAACAACAACAGCACCACCACCACCACCACCAACACCACCAACAATAACAACAACAAAACCATCACGAACGGCGTCTCAAGACCTGAAGCATGTGGCCCTCTGCGGCTCCTTCGTCGTACCTAATCTGCCCCTCTAGGTCCGGCAAATTCTCCTTGAAGAAGAGGAACAGCTGGGCGTCTTCGAAGTCGCTGTGCTTCGCGACCTTGCCGAGCAGGCTTCGGAGGGAGCGCTCGATCTTTCCCACGGCCGATTCCGTCTTGGTCGATGAACACCCTGAGAGAGGTACACATCAAGAAAAGAGAGAAAATCAGGACAAGAGGAAGAAAAAAAAACAGTTCAAAGTGATGGGATATTTACAGAAATAGTTATTCTTCGAATTGCTATTCCTCCGCCATTTAAGCTTTCCAGATATCCGAATAAAAATTGTTGTAACTCCTAGGCGTAGGATTGACCAAAAATCAATTACACGGAAGGTTTTCTGGGGTATGGAAGGAATGAGAGGCACGGTTGCATTGTCCTCGCCGTCTAAAAACACATCCAAGGAACTCAGGAGGCGAGGACGAAGAAGGTTTCGAAGCAGGCAAGAAAATTAAGCCTCGATCACCTGGCATCCCCTCTTTCCCCTTCACGTCCATGCGTGGACGTTTCTAGGCCCGGGTCTGATGTGCGTCGTGTGCAAAAACACGCACAACAAAAAAGCCCTAATCTTTGAGAAAATGCTGTTTTTGTCATACAATGTACTCTATAAGTCCGTTCTGCGTGTGTGGCACTAACGTGCCAACAGGTTTCGGCGTGAAATGCATCCGGCACAGAGTTGGCCTGGGGACGTCTTGTACCAAGAGCAAAACGCCCACTAACGTCTCCTCAAAGAAAAAAAAAGTCTCCTCTTTCTCCTTCTCTTACTATTTCTCTTTTTCCTCTTTCCCTGTCTCGTGCTCTTTCTCTCTTCATCTCTCTCTATTCTTTATCTCTCTCTGTCTCTCTCTCTCAATATATTGACTATATTTACATATAGGTCTTCTCAAAGAAAAAAGAAGCGTATTCGAAAGAGCGAACACACCTCCTTCGACGCCCGACTGCATCGACTCCGCCGCCTGGACGATGGACGTGGCAGAGGAGCGAAACTTTCCATGGACGAACATCCACGCCTTCACCCTGCGAAAAACACAAAATCGTTCGCGTGATTTTGGTTCGGGGCAATCGTTTGGGTCCTGAACCCTGCAAGTGTCCTACAGGTGGACCTAGCAAACAAAAAATAGCAAGCGGGGATGTGGCGTACGCCAAGCGCTCGCTCTTCATTATTCTCATGTCACGCCCATCCAAAAAATCACTCCAACATTCTAGGACTAAATGCGCATACGGAGGAGGCCCCTGTTTAGTGCCAGTATGTGCCCAGACAATTCATCGGCACTATACCGGACCGGTACTATTCAAGGTCCTGACAATGACTTGGGAACTCAGTGCGTGCCCGCCGAAAACACCGGCACTATTCACCCGGCAATGAACAGGGATCCCCTCTGTACATCAACCTTCTCTTGACAAGTCCTACCCACGGCCATCGAAGAAAGGACGCTGTTCAGCGTTGACACGGATTACCAACTGCCGAAAGGGGCGGAGAGGTGACATCCCAGCTAGACCGACTTTTTGGCAAAGTGCTGAAGGAACGATCGGCAATCGGTGATCGGTACTGTGGGAACGACGCTCCGTCCTCTCGAGGACACGCGGTCAATGGTCTAACCGCTAAGGCATGCAAAATATTGAGAGCACACGCCCCCCCAGACCGACATTCAAAGCTCGATGGATCCACGACCAAGCGGGTACAGGAGGGATTTCTAACATCTACCGAAAACCCTCGACGAGAAGTTTCCAAAACCACCATTTCAGGTACAAGTTTGGTGGTGGAGCAGTCGAGGTTCGAAAATCGGTGGAAGGGGGGGTGCTATATCTCCGCCTCTTGCGGTAATCGAGGTCATGGGGGAACAGACGAGTATGTGGTGCACACCAACTAATATCAACTCTGGGGACAGCACCTTGTTAGTGATGCCTGCTCATCTGTGCGCCTCTCTCTCTCTCTCTCTCTCTCATTCTCTCTCTCCGTCGCTCTCTGTCTCTGTTGCTCTTTCTCTCTCTATCTCTCTATATCTTTCTCTCTCTGTCTCGCTCTCTATCAATCTATCTCTATGTCCCTCCCTCTCTATCTCTTATCTCTCCCTCTCTCTTCTTCTCGCCTCTTCTTCCCGGGGTGGGAATCGTAGTGATTCCGCCAGAAATCTTGCTCCGCCACGATCTGCCAGCACCGGACCGCGTCTGCTTGCAAAAAGATGGTAGCGCGCGAGCACGGTACGAAAAGGTCGAGAGGCGTGAAAACAACCAAACGGGAAGGAGGCTAAGGTATATAGAGAGCAGAGGAATATACAGAGCAGGGTGGGTGCAATCAGTCATACTCGTGTACTTGTATCCGCATGCCGTGGTCGTTAGCTAGACCATTGACCTCGCATCTCGGCCGCCACTCTGACACTTGGGACTCTTTTGGACTGGGTGGCAAAAAGGTGGCAGGGTGCGAGCACGGCATACAGCACGGGCCCGCACACGAGAAACGCCAAAATCGAGGCCCAGTTCCGTATTTCATCGCCACCAGTGGTGTCAAGCACAGGTTGGACAAAAATATTGTAGGACCCACGCCCGCGGAGCAACATTTTTTAGGCCTACTCTGAAAGTTCTCGTGAAAACATTGAGCCCCTGTTTCTTAACGAAATGTATGTTAGCTGCAGGCCCGTACTGTACAAAAATACTGAGAGGCGTGAAAAAAAACTGATGATCATAAGCAGAGGTATTTTAAAGAGCAGGGCGGGTGCAACCAATCACAGTCATGTGACCGCATGCCGTGGTCGTTAGCTAGACCATTGACCTCGCATCTCGCTCACGGTCACGAAGAAAAATCGAGTTGGGGGATCCTAACGACAGTGACGGGCGAGTGAACCACACACCGCCGGACGGCGACTAACCAGCCTCTGGCGCTGCTGCGCCCTACGACACTGAAAAAAACACCTCTGGGCAGGATTGCCAGCAAACTTCGTGGAATTTTCGTCGGCAGAGAATTGCACATGGGCCGTGCTTGTCGCGCTTGGGCTCGTCACTGCATGTCGGATGAAGCCGAAGTCTTTCCGGCCGCATATGCTGAGAAAGGACCGCCTTCGCGAGAAATCAAGTACTACGAGGAAATAGATCAATCAGGGAGGGGGTACGCAGATGCTATTCCCTAACCCAAACCCTGAGCCAACTTCCCCGATTCGCATGATCTTCCAACATGTACTTAATGAAAAACCGCGAAGGCTACTGGCTGAGAGAACTGTGGGCTGCGAAACAAACGATGGCCGGAAGACACCGCATATTCTGCAAACCATGCTAAATACCGTATAACTCTAGACAACGCATCCTCAATGGACGTGTGTTTAGTCACGTGCATACGGTAAGCTCTAAGTGACACCTGGAGGGGATCCGTGCGGTCCATTAATTGCCGTTCTGCTTCAGTGGATCCAGTCGTAACTGAAAAGCACGTGCGAAAAGAGGTCAGTATTTGTGTGGGACTTGCGCAGCTTCTGTAGGGTCACGACGTCTTCCCTAAAAAATACCAAATTGTTGCACATGAAAAATACCTTTCTGCATTCTCCATCCTCTGTCCCCTGCTTCATGAACGTTGGGCTTTCGACATACCCAACGGAACTTATACTCTACATTCAGGTAGCAAGGAAGACGGAGCACTTCTCTGCACACCAGTCGCGTCCAGTTTAGGCCTCCAAAAAAGACAGAACCAACGCGTACAGGACTGGGTGGTAGAGGCGGCGTGGCGACGGCTGTGGATGAGTCCCAATGACCGGAGGGAGGACGCTTCTCAACGAAACATAAGGCATTGCTGCGAGCATGCGGCCATTATCGTGCAATCTAGGCCAACCTCAGGGATGCATATTAAGCGGTCATCGCGTGATGCCAACAACAACACCTGCCACAGGCGATTGGCACACACGTGTCCTCCTCAGGCATTTCGCTACTACGCGAGCACCCGTGGCTCCATGTACGCAAATATGCGTACAATGGACGAACCAAGATGCATTTTATGACACTCACACCAAACCAAACATTTTTAGCTCGCACCAACAAAAGGCGCATGAACAGGTGGTACGCAGAAGGATCCAGCAACGTCGGTGGTGTCCAACTCATCTCGACCCAACCATGAACAGCAGCTGAATGCACTATTTGCCGACGTGAGACCCATTGCAGAAGCCGAAAAAAAAGCATAACGCTCGTCAGGAAAACCATTGGACCACTAGCCAGCGCCGACTGCGTAGTTATAACTGTTGGAATTCGGCTTCAATAGGGACAAACTGCAAAACTGAAATGTGAAAGCAGAGTCATGCGCAGCGGTAGCACTAGACTCCGGAACCCTGATAACCAAAAACGAAAGGAAAGAGTGCACCGGGCACTCGGCCGGTCAGACCGGAATTCCGAGTTTTCTTGTTCTCTGTTCCCTAACACTGTAGGGAAGGCACGCCTGAAAGCCTCACCTCCAGCTAGAAATTAGTAGCTGAAACGTTCCGTCCCACAGGGAAGCCTGTTGCTATCGCATAATCGCTTGTGTGCATGAAAACCTTCAACGTGCTGTCGGAATATAAGACGGCAATTTCTAGAGATAGGAACACAAATTCTAGATTTAAGGAAGAACGAACGTCCTGGAAAAAATATTTTTGTGGAGACCATGGGGTTGATTGAACGCGGCAAAAAAAAAACGCCGGGATGGCCAAGGCGGTTAAAAAAAAAAAAAAAACTGCTGCTGCATCGAAACATCACATCACACATCGATCGCCACACACGGCGGTGTGCTCTGTATTTTGCACCAGCACTTCAAAGCAGGTTGTTGATTAAGAGATGGACATAAACCACGCAGGTAGTTGAGGGGCTGCACCAGTTCAACCTGTGAGGAGGGTGATCAAGAAGCCTCACTTTTGGTTTTTTGCTGTGTGCGAACGAGAGACAGACAGACAAAACATTTCCACGAAAAAGAGCATCAGCAACAACCAACAGGAGAGGGCGCGCACCCGTCTATGTTGTAGAGCTCATCACCGAGCGTATGAAGAATAGGCGCGCTGCGTGCTGTGTGGGCAATTCAATTCGTGTCTAGGGTTCGACCTTCTTCTTTCTCCGCCTGGTGTTTCTTCTCTGGCCCAGCAACAACCCAGCAGCATCAACAGACACATGATCAAACACACATACGCTTGCTGCTTTCTTGCTTGGATTGCTCCGCACCTGCCGCACTCCCCACAAGCAGAGCAACCGCCACAAAGATGTAGGTCTGGCTTTCGTTGGCAGCGACGGAGTCCACGCTACAGCACCTTCCGTGGTGCCTGGAGTTTGATACATCAGGCCATCCCACTACAAATAGCGCCCGCACTTAGAGTAAGAACTTAGCAGGTAAGAAATTGAGACTCGAAAAAATCAGAAGCTATTTAAGAACTTGAGCACCATTTGTGAGCCCGGATAAGAATCCCTACACTAAATCCTATATAGCGGCGATTTGTAGCCCACAAGAGGAACTAAGAACCCCAGTCTCGGCCAAAACTAGAGTAGAGGTTCTGAAGTGCGGGCGCCATCTGTATAGTACTACCGCTGCTGTTGTGGTGGTGGTGGGTCGTTTTTTTTTTTGTTGTCTTCACTTCAAATCAGCGCTCACAGCACTAGTGCCGTTTACTCCAACCCGTGGGCACACAGAAGAGCCCCTCTCTACCCTCCCCTCCTGCGGTACTTTGCCTTCGATTTTTAATGCGAGAAGAGCTCAGCACTCGTTGCTTGAACCTCGTACATTTATTTCGTCTCCTGAAAGCGACTTTCGATGTAGGAAAAAGCCGCGCCAGGCCTCCTGCTTTTCTAAATCTGGAAGCCGCTTTCGAGACTGAGGAATTCGATGTTCCTCCGCTTTTGAGGAACGTTCTCAGAACTGGACCGTTCATCCAAAAAAAATCTAGGAAGTGTCAGTGTTCCCGCACTCCCAAAATCTCTTGAGAATTCGCCGCTCGGTAGGAATAATAGACTGTGGGTATATCTCGAATGGGTAGTCTTTCTGTGTGTGTACTTATTTTTCCTTAATAATGCCCCTATGACAGCCGCTGACTCTATCCGATCCGTACAAGTCTGTGGGCGACTCCTGATAATTTACAAGCCGAGCTTGGCTACTGCATGTTTCGATAGCAGACATATATTGTTCACGTGTTGCATACACACAGCAAGGAGTGGTGTTTTTCCCTTGCAAAAAGTCACCTGGCAAAGATGCTTCTCCCATGTGCACCCCGAGCGCCAGCAGCTCGCCAGGCAGCTCGCTTTCGTCGGGCACGGGCCGATCGAGAACCAGCTTCGTCGCGCCCGCCCCCCCAATGAGCCCCAACACATCCGCCACAGGGAGAGGGCTGATCTCGGCGGCACTGCTGCTGCTGCTGGTGATGTTGCCCATGGTTCTTTCTCTGCTGGCGACCAATTTTTCGGTGCCCACCGCCGTGTATTGAACGATTGAAGGAGCAGTTGTCGTACGCCTGGCGTCCACACTCCTGCGAACGGAGTGTATTGTTACCCGTGTATCGGGAATGGACTGTGTGTGCGGTGGGTGTAAGCACAGAGCGGCAGCGATTGCAGAGGGCAGATATGCGGCCGGGTGGCATGGCCGAGGAAGAGAAACAGAGCGCGCGGCCCCGTAGATCGTCGAAGAACCGGTTCTCATTTTCTCGGTCGGGGAACATGTTCCCGCTCGGGGCAGAATGCGGCGCATCGTATCCCAGCACTCCCTCTCGCCACTCCTGCAAGTGTGCGAAAGGAGAGGGAGGTCTCATGGTTGTAGCCAGCGCATCATCTTGTATACTCTGTTCGGTGTTTGGGGGATGGAAGGGTAAGAGACGCTGCAGGCTCCAAATTGGAGAAAACAATAATCATTAGAGCGTACTCTCCCGTGTTGCGTGAGAGCATATGGCGGCGAAGGCACGAGCCTTCTTGTTCAGACTGCCACTGCACACGTCAAACTCCGCCGAGCATGATAAGCTTGCTGAGGGGCAGCACACGCCGCGGCGTCACACGCTATGAAAAAATCATTGCTGGGTTACCTTTCCCAGGTTGGAAGGGCGTTGTTTTTCGGCCAATATCCGAACGCCTGGGATTGCGCGTAGTTCGCGAACGGTCACGTTAGCGAATGAACCATGGTTCTTTGGTGTTTGTACATGCTTGCTAGTACGAATGCATAAGTAAGGAGTAGCGAGCGGATGGCGATGAAAAAATCCGTGAAGGTGTTTACTTTCCAATTCGACCAAACAAAGTAATCTGGCCATTCATGGGGGTGGCAAGGACCACCTTGTGGAACAACCTCAACCCTGCCAAACCAGATTCATTATCAGGGACAACAAGATCAATCTAGCGGAAATATCTTGCTAAGATCGAACGTGGTTCGGAGTGTGTTTGCTCCAACCAGGCAGGACAAGCAAATGCGACCACCGACTGGTCAAGTCTTCGGTCAAGCATCCCCGCCACAGCAGCAGTCAACGTAATCTTCCGTGTTCGAGTCACATTCGTCTCCAGGCACAACAGCACAATCGACCACCGATTGGCCAAGTCTTCTGACAAGCGTCCCTGACAGCAGCAACAACGTCTCATGCATAGGCTGCATTAGTGTCGAAGCCTCCACCCATTTCTTTGTGCAACCTGTTAACCGCGATGGATATGTCGCTGAATGCTGCTCAAGGGATCGTAGAAACACAGGTGGTTCTCCACCAACGCTATGAATTCATTGAAAATACGAACATCCATATCCTACTGTAGACCGTAACCATATGGATAGAGATGAAAAAAAAAAAAAAAACATGAACAAACATCATGTACTGCGTTCTCTGCTCCTCCTTCTAACGCAACCGTCCAAACTTTCCGACGCCGGTAGGCTTTTGCGCACGGCCAAAGAATGCCGCAAGCCTTTATCGGGTACTACCCCCTCCGAAAACACCGACTACACAAAACTATTGTTCTCTGTATTTTGCCCCCAGACACCTGGAACGACGAAAAGGTTTCTCGTCATCAAACGCAGAATAACATCCGTCATTCTGCGGCACATGTCAGGCGGGAGGGGTCAAGTCCTGCACCCCTTCCGGGAAAAAAAAATCGTTCTCCCTTTCGTGAAATCGCGAAGACAAGAGGCACTGCTCACACCAAACTGTCCGTTGGCAGCAGGTTCACAGAGAGACCACTCGGAATTGGGAACAAGAAAACGACATTTCGAAATGGGAGAGCGTGACTACGTTGGGGCAACCTGGAGGGGAGGGCCACCATCCTGACATCTCGGGAATCCCTAACGACGGCGACACGGGGCGGCAAATAATCCAGCCTTGGGCACGGTTACGGGCAATTGACCTGCTCGCTACCGGTACTTTCCCTACCTATGGTGGTGTTAGACGTGTGTGCCATGATCCGATGCCTTCCATGATATATCTAACAACGGGTACGTATTGTGACTTTCCAGAAAGGTACAAGGGAAATCTACTACTACATATCGGTGACATCGAGGATGCCAACGCGCATCAATCCCAACCATCCACATTGCAGACGGAGGGAGGCGGGACGACGAAAAACTAGAAGTCTATCTAAACCACGTTGCAGCACGTTGTTGAACAACTAGCCCGTGCATTTACCCTCTGTTTCGCCAACGCTATCGCAGGGCGTTCCCTACAACAAACACACAGAACCGTGTGCACCATCACAACATACATTTCTCACGATTTCACTCCGTCTGAACCAGGCCTTTTTCCGTCGAACAAAGGCACCAATGAAGTTTGCGTCTGCAAAAAACAAAAAAACAAACGAGTTCCTGTCGTGTCCTCTTCTCACTCCGCATGTCTCCGTCGGAAAACGGCACCAGTTATTTGAGCATCTCCGAAACAAAAAAAAAAACAAAAAAAACGTTGCAGTCATGTCCTCTTCTCAACGGCATCAATGACTTCCGGGTCTCCAAAAAAACGAGAACTTTTCCGCCGTCTCCTTTTCACTGCATCTGTCTCCGTCCAACACCACTAACCTCCGCATCGCAAAAAACAACACAAGGAACAACCGTTGCCGTCGTGTCCTCTTCTGACCGAACTTGTCTCCGCCAAACAACGACACCACTAAACTCCGCGTCTGCAACAAACAAAAAAATGAAACACCCGCAGCTGTCGTGTTATCTTCTGACCGAATCTGTCTCAGGTCAAGCAAAGACATCATTAAACCCCGTATCTCAAGTAAGAAAAAAAAGCAACAACCGGTGCCGTCGTGTCCTCTCCTGACAACACCTGTTTCCACTAAAACAAGGACACGACCTTAATTCCGCGCCTGCAAAAATAAGCAAAAGATGCGGCCGTGTCATCTTCTCACACCACCTGTCTCAGGTCAAGCAACGACATGTCTAAATTCCGCGTCAGCAATTCTAAGGAAATAGCCGTTCGCTGCCCCGTCGTGTTCCCTCTTCTCACTGCATGGCCTGCAGCACGGCGTGCCTGGTGCAGATCACGATGGCCAAGGAGCTCACCACCACCACCAGGAATGCCCCAGCCTGGTGGCGCGTCAACAAGGCAGCGCAACGGGGGGTAGGGGATGGGCAACGTACAGTGTTCTCGATCAGCTCGTTCGTACTCATACTTGTACTTGTGGGGTAGTCCACGACTACCGCAAACGACACAAGATAACAAACGATTTTCAAAGCTCAACTACTCCACGACGAAGAGGATGCAGAAACGAAACGATACGTTTTCGGACAGCTCTCGACGAGGCGGCTTCAACGTTGCAGTTTTCGGCGCAGTGACTCTTTCTGCTGTTGATAAATCGAGCTTTGAAAATCGGCCGCAGGGGTGTGTTTTCTTGCGTCGAATACGGTAGTGCACAGCACGTGAGGGTTGGAGAGAAGTCGATGATGGCAGAGAGTCGTTCGCAAAGTAGGACAACGGGGGTACACCTTGTTGACGCCTCGCAGAGAGCCATGTCAAGCAAGCCAACGCACACAGGTCATGGCGTTTGGAAGCGTTTCCCGTGGTAACCGCACCCCAGCCGGCGAGCAAGGCTTGATGCTAGCAAAAAAGACACAGGCATGGCCCGTAGAACCAATTCCGGCATGCTTTTCACAAGGACACATTACACATACGCACTCACGAAGACACAACAAACAAAGGAACAGGCATGGCCCTCACACCCAGTTCCGGCATGCTATCAACAAAGACACAATACACCCGGAGCATGAACTCACGAAGACATGGCAATCTTGGACACATGTCCGTTTTTTTCTCCCACAACAAGACTGAAGTAGCTTCACGGGCCAGTGAGTCACCCCAATGATTGCAGATACAACACATTAATGTTTAGTGCCGGCATGTGCCCAGAACAATCTTGGGGGACTATACCGGACCGGCACTATTCAACGTATTGAGGATGACATGGAAATTCAGCGCGAGCCCGCCGAACCCACCGGCCCTTTACCAGGCATTGGCACCGTCAAACGGGCACAAAACAGGGACCCCCACTGTAGTCCAACGCAAGCGCATAAAAAACACGAACAAAAAAAGGTCGGCCAGGAGGCGCCCACAACCGGGCGTGGATGGGTGGGGGGAGCACCCAGGTTCAAGAGAGACAGTCGGGGTGGACTTGTAAGGAGGAGAGGCGTATGTATATGTGCGCAGTGACAGATCGCGGACTGACCTTGCGAATGTTGAACTGCTTGTGCCACCTGATCTTGAGGTAGAACACCCCCGGCAGGAGGTAGCAGATCATGAACCCCACCTAAGGAAGAACCATCACCGGCAAGGAGAAGAAAAGAAGACGGAGAAGAACAGAACACCATCAAGAACAAGAAGAAGGAGAGGAAGGAGAAGAAGAAGATGAACAGAACAATATCAACAAGAACAAGAACAAGAAGAAAGAAGAACAGAAAATATCAAGAACAGGAAGAACAAGTGGCCCACACGCACTTGCTGTTCCGGTCCCTTTTGTTCAACGGCTGGTTCATTGCCGAAAAGAGTCAAACAACCATCACGAGAATGATACGTCAATCGACCTTACAAGCCAAGGAGAGTGAGACCCCTGTCCAGATCAGTAGGGCGAGGAAGAGCCCATCGCTTTTATCCCTAGTCAGGTACTCATGGGAAAAAAAAGCACCAACAAGGTCGCGAAGTTCCCGTCTCGCGTGCTATAGTCATCCTTGAGCGAGACTCGGCGCGGCGACATTGAGATGTGTGTTCAAATCTACGTCACAACTGGTGCTACTCTCTCTCTCTGAACTCAGTCAACACAGGAAAAACAAACGCAGTGACGCCCCTGCATTGTCGAGCAGGATTGGCTTCAAACAAGGCTACACTACACTACACTACACCGCAGCCAGTGGTTTGAAAAAAGCAACCTCGAAGAGTCCATTTCCCGCACCCAACCAAAGGAGCCAGCAAGCTATCCAATCCGAAAAATCTAACATAGAAGTGGCCCCATTATATATGGCTGTGCGGTGACAGACACGTTACATCGAGGCCCGCGCTATTGGGGGAAGGTCCCTGGATAAGTAGGCTGGCTAGGTTGGGCCAAGGAAATAAAAATATAAACACCGCGATCTATCGGGAACTGCGCTGTTCGGGACCGGGACGTATCGGGACTGACCAATACCGTAACTACGGATGATAGTGTACCTCGAGAAATCCACGCGGCCCACCATCCCCAGGATTCAGGCGATCACCACAGCCTTCGGCAAATGTATGGCCAACTTCTTACAGTTTGGATATTTTTTAGGCTGCTAAGTTCGTAGGTGATCGCATGCCAATGCATCGTAACACGTGCATGTGAAATCATCGACCACATGAGGCAGCAAGCATCTACACGAGAAACGTGCCATGGATATAGAATCATCTACATGAGGCAGCAAGCATCCGAGGACAAAACCTCACATGCACCAACATAAAAAAACAAAGGGTATTCGTACCGACGATCCGCAAAATGCTCCAGACGACGCACGCGCCATGTTTTTAGAACTTGGGTTTTCTTACAGGGTAAAGATCTTAGCTGCCAACTTCTTGAGTGGCGGCGCGTTCCGTATCCACCAACAAAAAATAGACAAGTGTTCTTACCGACGATCCGCAAATGCTCCAGACGACGCCCACTCCTGGCACCGACAGCGCGCAAAAGAGCGAGAACCCCATGATGGCCACGGTAGTTCCCACGTGTCGCACCGCCTGCGTACAAACAAAAATATAACGCAAAGAATTATATCTGTTGCGTCCCCAAAACCGAAAAAAACACACACACATATAAACATACACTCCAGAGAATAGCCTAGCCTTCCCCATGACACGCCCCCTCACGGGGGCCCAGTTCATGATACTTCTGTTTTTTGTTTTCAACTGCACAGAGACTGACGTATTTTCGCGTTCGATGTAAATAACGAAGACGCACACACACAACCTAGCATAGCACGGGCGAGAGAAAATGATGTCTTGTGATATTTGTACCTATACATCGGTGTTTTTGTGATTAGCACCCGCTGGCGTCACTGAGAAAAGTCAGTGAATAGGCTTAAACAGACCCTAAATAAGCCAGTATCCGGCTGGTTTATTCCCACTCACTGTAACGATTTCTACACATCCTTTTCGACTGCGGTATTACTACCTCGAACGGGTAGTCTATTCGTGCTTGATTAATGTTTCCTAAATTACCTTTCGACTGCTGAATAATTATCTCGAACGGGTAGTCTTTCTGTGAGATTAGGTATACGTTCTAAAAAAGAGAGTAGGAAGCGCCCTGGCACGGCCTAAGGAGATATCCAACTCAAAGTTCGCGCTTGACGTGTCCCCAACAACCCAAAAACGCACTCAGTGCGAAAAAACAAAGAAAAACGCCCGGCATTCTAGGTATTGAACCCGAAGCGTGCCGCGATATTAGTCTTCCGACTGCCCGACAAATACATGTCTTAAAAATCAACCCCTGTACTACGCTTTTGCGTGTGCGCGAGAGCTAGGCACGGAAAATGTTGCGCTTTTTTTAAGTACACAACCATTCTCTCTTCGCTCTCTGACGCACCGGGAATCAAAACGGATTCATACCAAAAACAAAAACAAAGACAAAGACAAAGACTGTGTCGAAGGGTAGAGAGACACCTTATTGCGAAAAAGACAGGAGGATGTACTAGGACGTCGGCCGGTAAAAAACGACACTCGATAAAACAAATGTCAAAACCTGTATTTTCCCTAGTAACAGGCGAAATAAAGTACTCCTATCCTACCAGAACGGACATCCAGCGTCTCAAAAAAGGACGTCAAGTTCCACGAAACCGCGCCTGCCACAAACGGACATCCACGGTCACAGAATACCAGTAACGAACGTAACCTTCGCGGGTTTATTTCCAGTGAGTGAACATGTTGGATACATAGATAGATACATTCGGGGAAGTTGGGTTGTTATAGGGCTACGGTTAAGGAATAGGGTCTGCGTACCCCCTCCCTGTTCCATACCGTCAATAAATTTAGTTTCTCTCGCGAAGGCGGTCCCAGAATACACACATACATACCCCCACGATGACGTGCATACATACACACACGACCTCTCGAGACACGGACGAAAATAAATTCCACGAAAGCGAGCGTGCGCGCCGCACCAGAAAGAAGGCTCTCGTCTTGGTGACCATCGTGCCCCCCGGGGTGGTTAACACTTCCCCGGTGCCGTCCACCGGCAAGTACTCTTTGCCGCCTGCGCACCACTCCTTGCGAAAAAAAGCGAGAAAAGCGAAAGAAGAAGTAAAGAACACAAAAATGAAAAAAATAGAAAGTGAAAAAAAAAAAGACGAATTGTGAAAAAAAAAACGAAGCGAACACAAGAAGCAAGAGAGCAGATAAACGAGAAAAACAGCAGCCGGTAGTGGTGGTGCTGGAGAAAATCGAAACACGCGCGCGGTGAGCGGGTCATGAGATAAAATGGCAGTAGTGTAGCGTGTTGATTCGTGCAGTTGTTGTTGCCGTTGTTGTTGTTGTTGTTGTTGTTGTTGTTGTTGTTGTTGTTGTTGTTGTTGTTGTTGTTGTTTTCTTCACATAAAATAAACGTTCCGGTCTCCTCTCGGTACCTTCAAGTATCCTTACTGGTCCAAGCTTATGCGGACGCCTTCCGCGTTCACAGACTTACAATTCTTGGACAGAAAAAAAAAAAAAGACGTGGAAATGGTGGGCTGGGGTAATCTGCGTTTTGTGTGTGGGATCCCGTACGCGATAAGGACGCCGGCATAAACCAGGACAACAACGCGCTCTCCGATATCGTGCACGAAAAGCCGCTACAAGGCCGGTTGTACCGGAGATACCACTATTGGAGGAGGGAGGCAACAAAACACACGTGGGGGGTCGACATTGGTGCTGTCGGAAGAATTTTGGTACCGGGCGATAGGTTACTGGGTACGATGCTCCTAGAGGGAGATAGACCCGGCATACTAGTGAAATACATGATGCTTTCGTATGAATGAACAGACACAAAAAATGACATCGCTCCCGCAGCCCATTCAAGGTGACAACAAGACGTCACGCTGAACAAAAATAAAGGACGCGCTGAAGCCGTCACAGAGCTGCCCCAACAATGAACACAATCAGAGGGCTGCCCAGAAAAACAACACAATCAGAGAGCTGTCCCAAAAAAACAACGCAATTAGAGGGCTGTCCCAAAAAAAAAGAACACAATCAGAGCGCTGTCCCAAAACAAAAAAACACAGTCAGAGGGCTTATCCCCCCCCCGCCCCCCCCCAAAAAAAACAACCATGTTTACGCGCGCACAATCGACGGGGCCCCCACCTGCAGCTTCTCGGCGACCGAGTCCATAACCAAAAACACGATGTCGCGGCACGGAAGCACGAGAATTGTGATGGCCACGAGCATCGTCAGGCCCATGCCCAACCTGCCGACGATCATCACCCGGTCGCTCGGCGCGAAGTTGAGGAGGATGTCGTCCTGCCCGGCGATATTTTGGAAAATACGAAAACATTTTATTGAGAAAGTGGTGTTGAGGGAGAGATGCCACCCTGTCCATCAGTGGATTAAAACAAAACTCAAACTGAACAAAACTTGGAAGCAGAGCGTGTATGTAGAGCCCTTCAAAAAATGAAAAAAAAAAAAAAGAGAAAAAACAATTTGAAGAGAACGTCGTCCTGCACAGCGATTCGTAAAAAAATGAACATGAAAAAACCCGAAAAAAATGAATAACAAAACCAGTGTACGGTAGAGAGCCCTTTGAGACTCCAAACTCGAGGACCATGTCAACCTGCCCACGAGTTGAAAAGAAAGCAGAAAATAATGGAAAAAAAAATAGGAAACAAAGTTATGGGAGAACCCTTTTAAAAATGACGAAAAACGGAGTTGAAGAGGATGTCGTCCTGCCCAGCGAGTTGAAAATACAAACGAAATAAAAAGGCAAGGTGCCACGTATAAGGTAGAGCCTGTTTTCAAGTAGATACGTTTCCTAGCGTATCGATTGAGCTTCTGACCCTGGTGTATTCAGCAACACCTCTGCTGTCCGATCACTTACTGCAAGTCTCGGATTGGATGAGGCCTGTGGGGATCTAGGTAGCTTGTGAACCTACCGTGCTATTATTCTTGGACACCATCGTCGACGATCACTTGATGTAAGCATGGATTGGATGGGCGAGGCCTTCGGGCAAACAGGTATCGGTTGACCTTGTGAACCTGCTGCGTTGCATTCTTGGAACACTATTTTTTGTCCGATCACGATGTACGAAGAGGCCCCAAGGCAAGAAGTAGGTCATCTCGACCCTGGGTGTATCGCCGCAGCGCGGCACGCCTACACGCCGTGGCGACATGACCAGACAGATAGGTATGGCTACTACGGTACACATATTTGAAAATGAATATATTCTTGGTCCAGAAACTACTTTTCACCCTCGCTTCCGAGATCCCTGCCGCCGCGTGACGGAGATTCCGTGAGGGCCGGTCGGTCTTTGCCCGCCCATAACACCGGCGCTACATTCAATCGGCACTACTGAGGGCCCCTGTTGTCTGTTAACCCTACGCCTAAGCCTATCGGTCACCTTGGTGCCCTCGTATGCGTAGAGGTACCCGCACAGGGCGAGGACGATGTAGAGTCCCGAGGTTAAGCCCATCGTGCCGTGCAGAAGTCCCTTCAGCCGCTCGCGGGTGGGGTTAACAAAATGCGAATGCACCTGCACCAAAAAAAAAACAAAAAAAAAACGAACACGCCGGTTTCCCTGTTAATGCATATCGTACAATTTTAAAAAAGGCCTCAATCAGGCAAAAAAAAAACATTCCCCGTCACCCTTACCCAACGAAATCTGTACCCCGGAGGTGCACAATGAGGGGGGCTTGAAGGGGCACAGGAAAGGCGGGGGATTTAGAGAACGTTTCCTAGGTTTTGTTGCCCCCTCCTCCCCCCCCCCCCCCCATGAAGAAGCATTCCCCCCCCACCTCCCCTTCCCCCTCCCCACACCAAGAAAAAGCATTCCCCGTCCCCCCCCCCCCCCCCTCGGCCTTGTTTGCCATCGGGGTTTGGGTTTTCGTCGCTTGGCAACGACGTTGTAAAACTAGCCGCCCCCCCCGGTGTTTGCCATCGGGGTTTGGGTTTTCGTCGCTTGGCAACGACGTTGTAAAACAAGCCCCCCCACTCGGTGTTTGCCATCGGGATTGGATTTTCGTCGCTTGGCAACGACGTTGTAAAACAAGCCAATTCACTTCGTGAACTCGGCAACCAGGTTACCGTTTTGTTTTTTTACCTCGTTTTTTTTTTGGCGGTAACCATAATGGTGGTCGAGTAGATCATGTTGTGCGGGGTGGAGAACCCTCACTCCGCGCAAAGGGCATGATCGCACCACGTTGTGTTAAAATGGTCAAGCTTCCTCGAGGCAGTTACACAGTGCTTACAACTGTCTCTGGAAGTGAAAGCACCAGAAAATAAATTAAGTCATACGTAGCTGTCATCCGTACGCAAGGAAGTAAGCACAAGATGCCGAACACCCTTAGCAGGATGCAGCTCACCCTTCATGCGACTCGATAAATACCTCACGGCGCTTCGCGCTTGGTGATGTGAGAGCCTGGTCCGGTGAGAACCCGGCGTGCTCCGTCCCGGCTTTGTAGGGATGCGAGGTCAATGGTCAAACGACTACGGCATGCACGACTATGAGTACACCCCCCCCCCCCCCCCGCCCCGGTTGGGGCGCCCCCCCCCCCCCCCACCCCAAAACCCCCAAAAAAGGAAGCA